ACAAATAATCGTATTTATTTCTGAGGCTTAACGTGCCTTAAACAGAACTTTTATTAATTTTTCGCCTGCTGCCTACGCACGATTTTCTCGTGTATAATGATGCGAGAAAATCTTGCGATGCAAAAATAGACAACGGTTAGTTTCAGAGCATTTCTGCCATCATCAGCAGTCTCAAAATTACGTGTATGCATATCACGGCAGCAATTTGTCTCCGACCGAGCTAGTTTGAGTGCCTTAAAGATATACTATGCTCAAATTTGATTTTTGAAAATATTGATAATTGCTACACAGTCTCTTTGTATGTATAAAATAAGCAGGTTTCGGCTTAATTTAAAGTAGATATGTTATGTTTTGAACTCTACACACTACAGGTGGTGACAATATGAATATATAGTGTCATTAAAAAAACTGGCAGTTGTTTAAAGGAAAAGACCAACTTTACTTGACCCGTAATATGAATGCTGCTTCCCATACATAGTTTCTTCATTATTTAATTCAAATTAAACATATTCAGTAAGAAATTCATTGATTTCAATACATTTCTAAGATAAAAATATTTTACCAAAAGATGAGCATAGTATATCTTTAAAACATTTTCAAGAAAAGACACACTGGGTTGATATTTAAATTGATAATAATGGATGTGTTTGTGTATGACATAAATCCCTTCATTTATTTCAAACTTGTCATATTTTGAACAACAGCAATAAAAAATTCACCCTCTTTTTAACGCTGATGCGATCTCTTTCACCTGCTCAAAGTATTTGAGCCGTGTCATGACAATACCAACATAGTGCGTTTGCGACCAGCATGGATCCAGACCAGCCTGCGCATCCGTGCAGTCTGATCTGGATCAATGCTGTTCGCTATCAGTTTCTCTACTTGTAATATGGTTGGTAAGCGAACAGCATGGATCCTGATCAGACTGCGCGGATGCGCAGGCTGGTCTGGATCCATGCTGGTCGCAAACGCACAAAGTTGGTTTTGTCATGACGCGGCTCATTTTATGAAATTGGGAAACGAGTGCAAAGTTACCTAATTTTTTTTCATTGCTAACAATACGTAGTTTATGGCATCATTTATATTTATAGAAAATATTTATGATTTTACGTTAATTCGATTTACTCTGTTATACATTTTTTTTATAATTTTGAACAATTTTCACGTGCGTGTACGTTATATCACAGGTAAACGTCGCGTGACCATGACTTACACTATACCCCCGTTCACCCTCTACAACCCAAAACCCTTAAAAATAAATTTTATGGAAAAAAAAAATATTTCTCTAAAATATTATAATATTTAAGTCATAATTTTTTTTTTCATAAAATTTATTTTTAAGGGTTTTGGGTTGTAGAAGGGGAACGGGGGTATAGTGTAAGTCATGGCCACGCGACGTTTACCTGTGCGTTATATAAGGGGTATATGTATAAAAGCTTCACCCGAGGTCTGTATTTGGCAGAATAAAAAAAATGTTGAAATGACAGAAGAAAGCATACAAAATTCCCGCCAACCCACCCTATTTATGTTCTGTTTTATTTTTACATAGCCTTTTCTTAGTTTTCAGATATTTTCAGTTGATTGCATCATGACTCCGCCAAAATTCGAGACAGCCCGCATTCCAGCAGATGCTTTTTGCAAAAGACAAGAGAAATGATAATTCTTGAAATGTAATTATTCTGTAAAATACAACGACCTAAACGTTGTTGTTGTTGTTTAGAAGTATTTGAGGATAGAAAATGATTGTTTTACTCTTGGTTTAGTGAGCTACATATATAGATGGAAAGACATTAAATTTTAATAATTTCACGAGTTTCAAAGTTTAGCGTGAAATATATGTCTTCTCGAAACGTACATAATTTACAGTATAAGGGGTACTGGTCAGTTGTGCACGAGAAGATCGTATCTCTCGAGTAGCCTATCTATTGGGTTATAAATACGGAGTGTAGAATTTTATTCACTTCCATCCAAATAATTGCTAACAAAGTATACTTTCAAGTATTTAAATTTGTGGTGTGTTATTTGAAGTGGATTTTCTGAACATTCAAAACTTCTTATCACACATACTGTCAGTACGCTTTTTTCTTACAATACATTAGTTTTAGAAGGCTTTGTATCAGGTACAAGTTAGTAAAAAAAGAAAGAAAGAAAAAGGTTAATACAGAGATAGGATCTGAAATCAACATAAATAAATTGAAATTTGGTGTATGTTCCTTGCAGTCTTACGTTAAATGGCTTTCACATGAAATATTAGTATTGATTGTCTGTTCAAATACAAATATGCACATATTCTCAAATTAATGGGAGGTAACTCGTGAAACATTCACATACATTTTAAAGTAAGATTTGTTCCCCTTGGATAAAATTTTGGTGTTTTGCTCAGAAAATAAATCAGTCCTTCTATTAAAGAGACAATGTCCAAAAGAAGCTAGTTTCCGTTCCTAAAATAATCTATATTATTAATGTTGTTGGAGCTAAAAAAATTTTCAGTGCTTTTTTTTCTGGCGCATATAACACATTTATAAGCAGAATTCCAAAGATGTTAACTATTTTTCCTAATTATTTCATTTGTAACTTTTGTGTTGATATGTGCCTGGATTATATTGTTAAAGATATTTGAAATGAAAATTCCTTGGTATTTCTTTCCTTCATTTTTTCCTGTCCTACTGTTCATTTTTCAGAACTTTTATTGACCGTTTTAACATATTTTGACATGTTATAGGGATTTCTTTAAATTGCAATTTACTTATGATAGATTAGATTACTTGATAACTTTTTTAAAACCCAATTTTTACTTCCGAAAAAAAAAAAACACACACACTAATTTTTACTTCTGATGAAAATAAACAACAACAAAAAACTTGGCACTTGTTGCCATGGTTGCTTTAAACTAGCATGTCTTACTTTTACAATGTTACGGCCCATCTGTATGCCACAAAATATTCGGAAAAATACAATAAATAACAATAACATTGTTCATTAGTATATATAACAATGATTTTATTCATTAACTTCAAAATACACTGTTTATTAAATATATAAATATATTATTTCATATCATTATAAATAGGAATTTAATATTTTAACAAACATTTTTCAAATAAAGCATAAAGTTTTAAAAAAATGTTCAAAAGTTATGAGAATACAATGTATACATAACTAGAGTTATCATTAACATAAAATAAATAAATAATTTAAAGACAAACAATCTATACATTATAATGTAGAGATGTCTCTATAAGGCAGAAATATTCCAGTAAGTCACACAGTTCAAACAAATATGCCATAGCAAAAATGTGAGGAAAAAAAATATAATATAGAAAATAAAACAAGAGCTGTCACACTAACATGACCTTCAACTACTCTTGAATCTTGGTGAAAAGGAGTAATGAATGACTTTTCAAGTTAACAACTGGTAAAAATTCAGTAAAAAATTTATTGTAGAGTTATGATCTTGGGACATGAATCTACAGTTATGATCCTAAATGTATGTGGGAAGTTTCTAAAGAAACACCTTCAATGCATAGAACTTGAAAGTAACAACCTTAACCAGAATTACTATAAGTTCTTCAGTGTACAAGTCAATTACAATCCAAGCTACAGGTATGGGTCTTGGTTTAGTGATATACAATTAAGGTCCCAGAAGCATGTTTGAAATTTTAAGAAAATACACTAAGTTGATTTATGAGAAATGAAGATGCAGGCAAAACCTTAATCTAGAATTACTTAAAGGCAGTATATTAGTAAGTAGAAAGCATTAGGCCGAATACAGAAGGGGCTGTATAAATGTTCACAGCTCTACCCGAGATAAAAAAAACTCTACCACACCATTGTAATATCAATAATAGCTTGCTACAGTTTCAGGCAGGTTGGGCAAGTAAATCCTTATCTAAGCAACCATATATATCTACCATAATTTTAATGACCTTATAAATCTAGTTCTTAAACAACTAAAAAATACTGCACTCTGAAAAAAAAAATATATTCTAAACAAACATACCAAATTTTTAGTTCTAAAAAAATCTTCTTCCAAAAAATAGAAACAATAACACATACTGTATTCATTATTATAAAATTAACATATAAATATTGTTCTTAAATAAAAACTACTTATAGAAAGAAAAATAATACATATATGTATGGATTTCTGTGAGAGAAAAAAAATCACAATTGATATTGCAATAGGAAATAGAACAAACATGTGCACTGACAGGATTTCTAAAAAAATATTATTTCATTCTTAACATAAAAAGACAAATCTAATAAAGACTGACCTTGTAAATAACAAATATCAAGGAGGTAACAGCAGCAGGCAATAAATACTGGAGAAAAAAAGAGTTGTTCACCTTTAACCCTTACCCTATCAAATTTCATAACTGGACTTGTCAAGCTTCCATTTTTTGGACTGTCCATTATCAATTTTAGTGCTAGCATTAAAATGAAATTTTGAAGTTAGTCAGGTAACAGTAAAAAGCCTAATCAGACGACACACATGTACAGGCTGGTCCCTATACTGGTGGCAAAAGCTGTTCATTTTTCAGTTTCAGCGGGGAAAGGGTTGAAAATACATAAACTAAAACATGTGTGGGTCATTGAGTTTTATATTTGTTCCAGCTCAGTTACTTTCAATTTTAACATCCTTATAAACCAAACATTATAACACCTACAATATTTAGAGTATTTTTGATAGATTTGAATACTTTGAAACTGTTTTAAATCTATTATAATGTTTTCCTTTCTGTCACCATGGTTAATATCACCATTACCACGAGAGTTCAGTATGTAATAGATTCTTTTAAAATTTCGGAGTCTCTTGATTAATGTTAAATTTCATGAAATTGTAAAAATGCAATTTAAAGTAAAATTTATGTATTGTGAAATGAACAAAGAAAACAATTAACACATTGGAAACAGCACATGCAAACCACATTAATTACCAAAAAAGATGTCAAGATAAATAAAAATAATAGCCCTTAACACAGTAGAAATATGGTAATAAATACTGCAAAATCAGTCATTAATCGCACATAACATGTAAATTATTACTCAAATCTTAAATCTTTTTACTATTCTTAAAATCTTCATACATTTTTCTCAAGTCTAATTTTCTTCAAATATTTTGGCTCATCTGCAAGTATGCAGCTTTAATGTATTGTATATAGAATATCATTATGTGTAGACAGAACTTGTGTGTCTATTTGTGACTTAAAAATCTACAGAAGGACATCTAAGGTTTTCCTGAACTTGTAAAGCTGGGAAAGAGTCATATGACCTTCACAGTATTGGTATAACTTAAATAATAAACAAGTTTTAATGAGTTACAAAACTCTAAAAAAATGACAACAAAATGGTCAAATGCTTCACTTGAGCATTCAATGAATTTAAAACTCATAAAGAATTCATATGCTCTAATAAGCTATTAAATTAAACAACCAGGAGTAAATCTTTAACAATCACAATAACATGTTAACATCTTCATTACAGCACTCAACAGCAGCATCTGTTTTGTCTCTCAAAATGATGGAAGTCAACCAGAAACATTGCCCCCAGTATCAACACCTTCTCTTTCACTGTCAAATCTGTTGTATCTAAAATAATATTTCATGCACATAATATATATAATGATTATCTACAATTAATATTCAATATATTAATTTCAATTAAGATAATGAACAAATATGTGTCAGTCTGTCAGAGTTCCAATGAGAGTTTCACGGAACATGCAGATTGGATTGGTTTGTTCCTCAGCCATGCAATACAAAAAGGCATAACAAGTGGTAATAGAAACTCTCTTTCTTGGTGTTCAGCTAAACAATATGGGACTAAGCTCTTTTTATACCAGTAGATGTCATCACAGGTGTTAAAATTAATTATGAAAAAAAACCCTTTTCAGAAACCACCATCATTATCACTGTCTTCATCATCACCTTCATCATCATCATCACCACCACATCATGATTATAAATATCATATAACAGAAAATCTTTCAACAGACCTTTCCTTTAAAAATATACTTTTTAGCTCTTGTTAAAAAATGATTTCAAAAAATGGGATGACACAAGCCATACTAAAAGTTTTTCATGCTTAAAACACAAGAATGAGTGACTGAGGAGAAATGTTCATAGCTTTAAGACAAAATTATTTTTTAAAGAAATTCAATGACCCTTTAATACATAAAGAAAAATGTTAACCAATCACATATACTTACATGTTATTGTAAAATCATTAGTTCTTCCAATACAATCACTACAATTGGCCTGTTTCACCAACTCTGCAACTTTATGTCCATTTGTGTCTCTTATCTGAATAATATAAACAATTTACTTTTAAACAATGGCATTCTATAACTACACAACAAATACATAAAATATTTTACAAATCATTTACAGTGATCTTAGATATACATGTACAAATTAATTTGAATACCACTTCAGAATGTTTTAGTAATTACTTTAATTTAAACAACTCATTGCATACATGTACTTTTGTACTTTTGTTATACGAGGGAGCAGGACCATGAACCCAAGAGGGGGTTAAATCTACTGGCTGAGTGGCAGACATTCTAATTTTCCTTTTCAGCATTAATCTAAACATAAATAAGACTTAGTTACAATCAGACAGAACACTTGCTTATTTGACAGTAACAATAATGTGTTTAATGGAGAAATTTGCTTAAGTTTACAAAGAGTTTAAGTTAATATTCATGAAAAATTTATGTTGGAATCATGAATCTTAAGCAATGAGGCATTGACTAAGAATTACAAGAAATCTTGTTAACATGCATGTAGTTTCAAAATAATACCTCCAGTGCCTGTAGAGACATAGATATTGCACACAAATCCTTAACCAGGCTGGGCAAGTTGACTTCCAAATAAAAAGAAAGCCTCATTATTCTTTGAATAGTCAAGCTAATTTGTAGCTTGCTTTGAGTAATGTATGGTTTTTGTTTGTTTTGGTTTAACGGTAAAACTGACACATTGCTGGTCAAACTGCACCAAACACTATAATAAGTAGGCCTAAATTGTCTGCATTTAACAAATTAAACAAATGACAACTATACCCAATTGTAAAATATATTTCAATAATAAGCTAGAAATGTGTCCATAGGAAAAAGATGCCCAAACATTCCACTGTTTTGTCAGTCCACAGAGGGACCATCAACTGACTGCCTGACATAAACACAAGGACAAATCTATATCTCCTTTCCCCCTGCTGAGTGGGGCCATAAAATTTAAAAGTGAAAAGTTTTTACACTTACATCAACATGGCTATCACAGCATAGTAAAGATTTACAAGTTTGACAGGCAAAACTGAGGGAATACATCACTTCATTGTCAGCACCTAAAATATCATATGTCGGCAAACAACACGTTCTCCTGAAAAAAAAAATATCATTCCATTAATATATTTCAACCTTAATCACACTAGAAAGTACAATCCTTACAGTCCTGAGTTTGTTAAATGGGCTTGCCCTGCTTTCAATTTGGCACATTCCATTGGTAATGAAAGCGATTTCATTTTTTCAAAGAACTAAAACTTACAACAGTATAGATCTTAGTAAGTGTTCATTACCAGCCTGGGTATAGGCCTTGCAATTTTAGTTTCTGCATTTTAAGGTTAAAAGTTATACTGTATTTTAGTTTTCTTTAGGTTGCACAGCAGGATTAGAACTATCATTTTAAGTAGAAGTGCATATAATTCAGGAGGGTTTTTTCGCGAAATAAAGATCACACCAAATATAAACTGATTTATAGTAGCTTGAACCAATGAATTTAGAAACAACTTTACTACATACAAATCAAACTCTATTGTAACAAGACAGTTGTTTGAAAGTCAGAATTGGATACAGTATTTTTATATTTAACTATATATTATAGCCTTTCAACAGATACCAGTCCATAATGCTACATATACATGTAAATATGGTGTTTTATAAGAAAATGTTTTAGGAATCAAACATTTGCTGGCTGCGTGGGTTCAAACCCTGTCGGGGGAAAGCTTTTGTTTTCTTGAGCAAGAAATATTACACTTATTACTAAGTACAGGTAAGTTAAAGGAACGGATTCAAAAGTGTGTCTTTAAGCTTACATCTTCCTTTATAATACAGCACATTTGTAATGTCGTTTTTTATTGGATAACCTTGATATTATTACAATTTTATACACATGGCTGTTGTAAATTCATGAAGAAATCTTTTTTTTCTCTGCTGTTTAATAAATTTCATTACAAACATTACAGACAGGTTATATGGCCGTATAAAAACGGCTGTTTGCAATATAACCATAGCCTAGCCCGTCAAAAATCTTTATAAGTAATATCATAATCAAAAATGAAATTAATTCTGAATAAACTAATACATTCTCACACTGTGCACATTTAATTAGGTTGTAAGAAATACCTATAACTGTAATGCTATTTTTAAATTTTCTTATTCACTTAGCACTTTTTGCTGAAAATTATATAACAAACTCAACTTCATATATGGTAGTCTGCAAAATTTATTTTTGGTAAATGATTTGAAATATCTTAAATTCCTGGTCAAGTTATGTGTATACCTTTCTTTTATTGTTCCAACTGTAGAGCCTGGTGGGGTTTGAACCTCTAGAGTGGGCAGAGTGCAGCAGATACCGCACGATCCTCTAGAACACGTCTGTGGTCGCACCACTTTAATAATGTCAAACATGTCATCATCACTGAACTTGAGGGCAAATCCTCGGGCGGCACCCATTATCTGTCTGGCATAACATTCAGATACTGAAAGTTTCAATTCAGACTAGTAGCATAGATACATATAATGTGGCATATAAAAAATATTGCCCTTAAAAATATAATATTAACCCTTTTTTTATGTTGTTTTTTTTAAAGACCAAGGGGTATCTTCATTTAATCAATCAACCTATTTTATCAATATGCTTCAATTGAATATAAAATGAAATCATAATAAAGTGGGCCCCAATAAATATGATTATATACAAAGTAATATAATACAATTATGCTTTATATAATCTAAAATAAAAACTGGTGGAAACATATGGTGACATTCTATGACATTCCAGTATATAAAACAACAGCTGATCATTATTATCAATATACACAACCTTCACCAAGGTGACTGATTAAATAAACTCATATATAGATTATCTTCATTTGATAAATGAAACATATTTTCTATCTAGTTGGGTTCATAAGCACTTTGACATCGTCATATAGCAACATTTAAACTTTGGTGATAAGTTCATTATTTTAGGCATTGTGTATATATTATTTTAGGTACAGAGTTCATTATTTTAGGCACCGTCAAACTAAACCACCAACCTTTTATGTTTAACCTTAACCTGCTAAAACCAGAATGATAAACCTTTATCAACTGTATACAGCTCTTTGGTAGCTCAATTTTTGTATTTTGATATTTAAATCCCTTGAAATTCAAATGGGCTAATATCCATTACAAAAAATATTGAGTAGGTCAACAGCTGAAAAATGAAAACGAGTTAATTCTAATTACCTTCTTGTACATAGAATAATTGGTCTTCTTTATCATCAATATAAACGCTGTATCTACATGGCCGGTTAAAACAACAAAGCACCACTGAAATAGAAAATATAAAAGATACAGAACATCAAATAACTTAAATGCATCAAACCTGGAGCAAGATAATTAACTTGATCTTGCTTGCCACCACAACTGAAAATGGCAGCCATATTCTGTGAGTACCCATTATGTAGAACAAACACAATTTTCTACATCTCAAAATACCAATATCAAATTAGATCTAGTAAAAAGAAGACTTTTTCACTACTTGTGACAGGCCTTTGCCCTTCAAATCTGGTAAAGGCCATGCCCTGTGGTAAAAGGATGTTAACATTCTTGCTTAATGACCAAATTAAATGTTAAAAATATATGGTACCTGCCATTTTGGTGCAAAACTAGACAATCACACTGACCTGATACTGCAGGAACCCAATGGAAGGTAAACATTTTAGCAACATAAAACTTGTGTGTTTTGTTTAAATGCTGCTTGCTTTGAGAAAGAATGAACTTCTGACTATGATAAATCAAAATTAAACATGCATAAAATGTACCAAACTAAAGGAAAAGAGAACTGAAAGTAACAACGCATCACTCCCTAATAGGTTAAAATAATTTATTAATGTCGACTAGTTTTTATATAATCACTATGATCTTCATTATGACAATATAGGTCAAAAATATTCTCGTAAAGTATTACAAATATTAAAAAATGTCAGTCAGAAATTTTGATTTACAGAGAAAAAAGTCAAATAACTCAAAGCTGACATATATCTCTGCTCATCCCTATCTTTTTTAATTTCAATAAATCACTACAAAATGACAAACATTATATCATTAAACTTGTTTCAGGCAATTAGTCTTAGGAAAAGTTGTTTTCTCTATAATGTATCTATTGCAACAGGACAAAGACTAATAAATTGTCTTCAAGTCCTTACTAGGATAAATATCTGTCATTTTTTTAAAAAATACAATCATTTCAAAGTTGCCAATGGCAACCCATACTTAGCTATTTTCTTAAAATAAAACCCTGATTATTATTTATGCTTTTGAAGGCTGTAGGAAGACAATTCCAAAGAAATAATGGTTCTTTAATGTGGATAAAGTAAAGCACCAGTACAAATGTCCTCAGTATAAAGTCTTCCCCCCCCCCCCCAAAAAAAAAAAAACAAAACAAAAAAACAATTACATTTAGTGCAGTGTAATCATTTTAGTTGGAGAAGTAAGAAACTTTTGGACTACAAGCTATCTTTTCAATTTTAATCTTTGTATCTTTTTGGCATTTATTGAAAAATCCCCTGGTTTGTATAATGCAGAAAAAAGGGACCAGAGGCCTTGGATTTGAAGTAAGCAAAAAAAAAGGCACCATAGGTAAGCAGAAAAATGGACCAGAGGCCTTGGATTTGAAGTAAGCAGAAAAAGGGACCAGAGGCCTTGGATTTGAAGTAAGCAAAAATGGACTAGAGGCCTTGGATTTGAAGTAAGCAGAAACAAGACCAGAGGCCTTGGATTTGAAGTAAGCAGAAAAAGGGACCAGAGGCCTTGGATTTGAAGTAAGCAGAAAAAGGGGCCAGAGGCCTTGGATTTGAAGTAAGCAAAAATGGACTAGAGGCCTTGGATTTGAAGTAAGCAAAAATGGACTAGAGGCCTTGGATTTGAAGTAAGCAGAAAAAAGACCAGATGCCTTGGATTTGAAGTAAGCAGAAAAAGGAACCAGAGGCCTTGGATTTGAAGTAAGCTGAAAAAGGGACCAGAGGCCTTGGATTTGAAGTTAGCAGAAAAAAAGACCAGAGGCCTTGGATTTAAAGTAAGCAGAAAAGGGGACCAGAGGTCTTGATTTTGAAGTAAGCAGAAAAAGATACCAAAGGCCTTGGATTTGAAGTAAGCTTTGATGCTCAGCTGAGCTAAAAAAATCCCCACCTTGATCAACTGGTATAAATAATATCTCTGTATCTTTTTAAAACACTTCAATGCCTCACCTTAAAAAATCACGCAATATATCAAAAGATAAATCAAAGTACATCAAGTTATCAGTCTGATATTCTGTATATTAATATCGCATTTGGGACTTGGGAGTATTAACTTTACAATGCAGATTTTAATTTCAGATAACTTTTGTCATCTTGCAGATATCTAATTTCCCAGTAATAGGATTTTAATATCACATTCACCATGATCAATCAGTTTTACTCTACATTTTTGCATCAAAGTAAAAAGATAGATTTTGCTTATTGTAATAATGTAAGATTTAGCGTCACCAGTTTTAATAGTACATGTATATTAACTGTCTTTATATGACATGAATGTAAGACATCTAAGAATGTATCTGCATTTTTATAACTGAAGTAGGCCAAGGCCTTGGCCCTTTGACTTTGGGAAAAATTATCACTAAAATTGTTAATTTGGGAAGTAAAAAAGCAGGAGTAAGTTTAATTTTTTAGGAAAACTGCATTATTTTAAAGAAAGTTTCCGTTGGGAAGGAGCCTTTTATAGGCCTCTCATACCTGTGAACAGTAGAAATATTCTGTGTTTCTAAACATTTATTTATTTGAATTTATTTCAGTACTATATATATCTAGTAAATCCTATGTTGTCAAATATAAAACAAAAACTATTTTGTAGATAAATAAAAGTTATGTTGCTACAGTCATTTACTTCATCCTATCATTAAAAACGGGAGGGATGATGAAAGAAAGGACTTACAAAATAAACAAGAGCGATCAGGGATCATATGTGTCGCCTAATGTTAGACAATTTAGCACTTGTACCTTTATGTTGCGGCATCTTTGTATTGTGTAGAAAGAGAAAAAAAAATAGACAAGCAAAAACACTTTTTTTTATTCAAGGGCTAAAAATCTGAACCTAAAACAGCTTTTTTACTTCCCAAATCAGCAAATTTAGTGCTAATTTTCCCCAAAATCAAGAGGTCAATGCCTCTTCCGTATTAAGATGGAAAGGCCACTGATCAAAGTTCTGCTGAGGTAAAGTAACTTTAATGACTACTAAAACTGTTTATTGAAACCCGACTTAATGATCTTTTTCCCTCATCAGATGTCAATGTTAAATGCCAGTAAATAAAGATTAAAGCTGTAATCAATAGAATAATTATCTTTACAGATACTGGTGCTTTTGAAATAAATAAAACCATTAGAGGGTAATATATAATGATCTTCTTCTTCTTCTTGTCGTTCGCCCTTCTACAACGTCACCCCAGCCACAGCGATGAAATGTGCAGTCTTCTGGAGGGCCTCAAGGTTACCGTAGAGTTTCTCCTCCAGTGGGGTGCTTGCTGGCCACACTTTTTTTCGCAACTGCTCTAAATGTGGGCATCTTTGTAGTAAATGTTCTGCCGTTTGATTTTCCAAGGCACAGGAGCATAGAGGTGATTTGGACAGCTTTAGCTTATCATGCATGTGTGCGTTCAGCCTGTTGTGGCCAGTGCGTAGCCTGACAAGCGCTACCTGTTCAGCTCGGGTAAGCAGATGGTAATCATCTTGTGCTGTCTTTGGCTTCATCAGTGCCTTTATCAGCGTAACTTTCTCCTCATGCCTTACGGTGTTCTGTGGTTGGTCTCTTTTGGCACCTAATTTGGCTAAGCTGTCTGCTTGCTCATTTCCAGGGACTCCGCAGTGGGCTGGAATCCATTGCAGTGCCAGCTCTCTGCCATGGCTAACATGGCTTACAGCTCTGGAGAGTTCTGGTAGCCGACAGTTGTTTAGGGCCTCAAGAACAGACAGGGCATCTGTAAGCACCACCACATGTGAGCAGTCTTCTTGCGACTCTTCAATAAGAGTAATAGCCTGCATTATAGCTTCAACTTCTGCCCTGTAATTTGTGCAGTGTTTTCCGGTTGGGCAACTATTTGTCTCCGTTTTTCCTCCTGGGTACACAATGTAAATGCCAGCTCCCCCATCTTGGACAGCGGCAGTTGCTGAGCCGTCTGTATATACATAGGTCCAGATCTCTTGTGGGAAGTCCTCATGTATCATAGCTTGTGTTAGGGATTTCTTGGTCATCTCGTCCTGTTCCCCGGGTGATAATTGTGGGACAGTAGTGCGAATTTGTATGTATGACAGGTCATGTTTCCATGGCTCTGATAGGTCCTCCCTACCGAGAGGAGTGATTGGAGGTCCAAGTCTAGGGCTGTATTTTTTTACTAGCTGCTTGGATTCATGTATAAAGCTGCTCCTTCTAAGACGATTCTTAGTTAGACCATGCAATTTGTTTTTCATGGGATGGTCTGGCAGATACTGGTATTTTGCCACTTGTATCATCGTTTTTTCTTCTCTTCTGTGACCAAGTGGTGGAATAGCGGTGAGATCTTCCATAGCTTTTATTGGAGTCGATTTCATTGCTCCAGTGATCACACGCAGGGCTTGGTTTTGGACCTTGTCAAGCACTTGCTGGTTTGTCTTCGCAGTTGTATATATAATGATGAATTTTGCAGAGAAATATCAGATGCAATAGTATTTTATATGATAAAACCTTTGAGATATTTACCATTTAAATGCCTTTGTGGAAACTTGCCGCAAAGTATTTTATATAATGAATATTCCTTTTATTCCATTAAATTGACATATCTATTAGGAGGCATTCATTTGAGGGCTAATGAATCTTTTATAATAAACAGAGTTATCTTATATGCTGGTGCTTCTGATAAAAAAACAAAACAACCCCCCCCCCCCACAAAAATGAAACAAACAAAACAAAAACAACAACCATCCAAGGGAAATTTTAAAATTCTTATAAATATCAGATGAAATAGTTTTAAATGAAATGATAATTAAAGTATAATTATAAAGCATATCTACAAATTATTTTTATTTTAGTGAAATTTTAAAATTGTTCAATTTGTTAAAAAATAATGTTGTCAAGTGACTGTGTACAAAATGACTTTAATAATCTAGCTAAAATCATCTACTTCATACAGAATTAACCAATAGCATGTCACAATATGCCAGAACAATCTTTTAAACTCAGGTAATAACATAAATATGGTGATAAATATAAAAAGCTTTGTCAAAATTTGTATCAAACATGCAAAGTTTCAATTTGACTTGATTTCTAAAATTACAAACATCATTTTCTCAAGTTTTAATATCTTAAAAACAAGAAACATGGCAATGCCATGAAACCAGGTTTTCAATTATCACCATTGTAGATAAATATGTTGTATTTGAAATACAAATACAACCAACAAACAATGTAACTATGTGCGATGTAACACAAAACCCCGACAATATGCGCCAGGGCACTTGATGACAAAGCTTCTGTGAAAGTTTGGTCAAAATCTGTTGAGAAATGTAGGAGGAGTTCAGCACAGAAGAAATTTTTCACTATATATTCTATATAAGGAAAAAAAACAAAGGGCCATTATTAGGTCAAAATATTATCCAATCGCCAAACCAAGACAATATGCGCCAGGGCACTTGATGACAAAGCTTCTGTGAAAAGTTTGGTCAAAATCTGTTGAGAAATGTAGAAGGAGTTGCGCACAGAAGAAATTGTTTACGCCCGCCACCCGCCCGTCCACCTTTCCGCCCGCCCGCCGACATACCTCAATCTAATAACCATTTTTTTCCTTCGGAAAACCTGGTTAAAAATCAGTTTAATCATTTGGTGGTGTAAAACATATAAAAGCGGTGTCTACTGGTTAAGGTGTCTGCCTCTGGACCCAGAGATTGTGAGTTTGAGCCCTAGTTGTTAATGACCATGTTTCCTCCATTGACACCATTACTAATCAGTTGCAGAGTGGCGTCATGTTTGAGAGGGTTACTTGCTAGACTAGTGATCTAAGAATTGCTGGTCGCGTGGGTTCAAACCCCTTCAGGTGTTCAAGCCATTGTTTTCTGTGAGCAGGAAGCTTTACACTCATTGCTTAGTATTGGTTGGTTCCAGGAATGGATTGGAGAGTGTTTCAATAAGCTTATAGTTTCCAACACAAACAAAAATAAATTTGTATAAACTAAACTAATCACTTCCAGGAAGCGAACATTAGAGTGGTTCAAGCTTTCATCATAATCGTGAACTTAAATAAATTTGCTAAAACTGATTAAAAACAAAAACTCCTACTTTTTCAGAATCTGAATTGAACTTGGCATTAATGTTTTAATATCTTTTAAGACCTTGCAGGCCTTTATCAGAAGCTTTAACATTTCATTGTGATAAAAAGTGTAATTTGCCTGGAATTATATCCAAAGAAGATCAATTTTATATGCAGTGTGAAATCAGATAAACCTGTAAGCAAACTTGCCCAATTCAATAATGAATTTCAATTGATATAAATAGAACAATATAAAACTTTTAATAAATGATATAATTAAATTCTCTCATTTATGTGAAAAATAGCATAATTTTAGATATTATATACTGGGTTCTATATACATTTTTTTTTGAAAATCTTATGTTTACTGGCTTCCAGTGCAGACAGGAATAGCTTGCATAAGGTTAAAAATGTAAATGGCAGTAACTATGCTTACAACAACCTCGATTTAAGCACTTGATTAATTCATAATAGTCTGGTATGAATGATGCCATTAAAAGCATGTGTCTTGTCATACACAGGGGATGTAAACAGTAGAGAATCCTGTCTGATATGCAAGAATGTACTTCCTGAACCAACCAATACTGGACTATTGGTGTCATATAAGTAAACATGGTTGTAACAAAAGCAGGACTCTAACCTATAATCCCTGCATTGAGAGGGCAAGGTAGACATTAACCACTATTCCACCCCACTTCCCTTAGATATATTGTACAGAGTTGCAATTAATTTCAAAAGGCAATTGAAGTTACAGCACTTCTAATCTTATTTTTAAAATTAGACATCAATCCAGATGCAAATAAATCTTTTGTTGAGATAGTTTCTTGTAAGCTTTTTTTATGAATTTGTTTTACCTTCGGCAGAATCTATATGTTGTTTCACAGTGACTTCTGTAGCAGTTGACAGTAATTGTAAACTTGTTGGTAAATCTGTTTTCACCTCAGAGTGACCTCCCTTTATATGAGATGGCTGTTCTGTGACAACAGCCATAATGCATCATTGCCTAAAATAAAAAGATTTTTTTTACAGGTTTGAATATACATGTTACAGACTTAGAGCCAAATGAGTTATTCCCAATTTATAATATAGTGTCAGATCTTTCTAACAGTTTCTGAGGAGATGTTGTTAATTTGAGAAAAAAAGGAATACTGTACTGGTCGGAGAGATAACTCCGACGCATAGATAACCCCGACACTTGATAAATATAATTGTTTTAGCTTTGTTTTTCAACAAATAAGCACATGCTCACCTAACAGTATAGGAACAGGACAGAATGTGATGATTTGTTATAATTTGGTAGACTTTTTAATGTTTTTCAAATAACCTAAACTTTTTGTAGGCGAAAACTGCTTCAAAACGTTCTTTTTACTAAATTACAGTAAGGTAGTTAGAAATGTATTGACCACAGGCCACTAACTTGGGAAAGATTTTTGAAAAATTGTTTAAATGTTTACAAAAAATAGATAAACCATATAAGATGTAAAAATAAATTATTGATGCTGATTTTCCAGTCATTTTTTACTTAAAAATTTAAGTGTCGACTTTATCTACTGTTGTGGGGTAAAAAGACCATGTTTTGTATACCTCATTCAATACCTTAAAGAAGTACCAGATTCCATTTTCATACATAGTTTTTGTGGTGTAATGTAAAGTCTTTGAACTGAACTTTGTTTAGGTGGTTCAATATTTAAAATATACTGGAAGATAATTAAAATATTGCAAATAATATGTGATTAGTGTCGGAGTTATCTCTCCAACCAGTAGTGTTCTTGACAAGAATTCTGAAAGTCATTGAAACATATCAGGACAAAATTACAGAAATTTATCATTGAAATAAATATATAATGCATTTTTTTCCTTTAACTATAAGAAACCACAAAAACATGTTTGTATTTTGGACTTGATAAAATGATTTGTTGTTTAATTGGAAGTAGTTTTTTCACATATGAAAAGAAAAGTAACAAAATTGCAAGCTGTTAAAGAGGTCTTTGAAGTATTGACATGTTAGCAGGACCGATTTACGTGTAGATAAATATGCCTTTTAGCCAAATTATAAATTTATTCTGTCTCTGCCTACCTATCATGTACCCACTGTTGTTATGACTGCAAACACTTGGCTTTTCATTTGCAAGGGAGGCTCTCTTGCCAATGCCAAATATGAAGTGGTGTTATTAGTTTTAAAAACACCCAGGATGGTCATCTGGTCAAGATTATTATGATAATGTCGAGATCTACATCATACAGGAGCTTGATATTCTGTCAATGAAAAAAATTAACATCAAATAAATACCCCCATATTATTTTTATTGACAGAATATCAACCTCCTGTAATCTATGTTACTTAAGCTGTTTAGCCTAGGTTACTAGTACATGTACTACTACAGTATCCTAGTGACATAATACTAACCTCATGGACACACCCAAACAAATAAAATATATCATATAGTGCAGTAACTTTACCACAGTTCACATAATTCTAAACTAGAAGAATTCTCATTTGAGCATTTCACTCATTGTTTGCTAAAAAAAAATTACAATAATGAAAAAAACGTACCTGTATCTATTCTGTTTTTGTTGACGTATAAATGGAGAGACCTTCTCCAGGGGGAATAACTTTTGTTAGTTACTGTGCTATCTGATTCTCATTCTGCGGGAAGCGACGATGTTTATTTTACCACAGGAACTTGAAATTCTATCAAATAACCTATATTAATTATAATATCCAAATATACCCCCTATATACTATAAAAAAACACAGGAACTTGAAATTCTATCACAATTAACGATAATATGCAAAATATACCCCTATATACTATAAAAATAGTATATAGGGGGTATATTTGGATATTATAATTAATATTGGTTATTTGATAGAATTTCAAGTTCCTGTGATTTTACGATATCGGTACGAAGTCAATTTATAGTGTCCACAAATAAAAATTAAGCTTTATCCTATAAGTACCTTATCTCACACCCAACCTTTTCTCAAACCTTTCATTCATGAGCTGTTATTTATTTACTAGAAGTGACTATGATGTCCTCAACTTGTGTGCATTAAAGACATGTCTGCTGCTGTTAAATTAAAACAGTGCATGGTAAGTAATATTTACATTAAATATCTTATTACTTAGCATAATTTCATACAAATTGCTATTACTTTTGTAAGTCCTCTAAATACACCATTAACTATTTGTTAAATTGATTATTACAGTAGTTCAAGCAGGTACCTGCATCCTGTAGGGTACTTCATTGTCATGTGATAGTCATATGATAATCACTTTATTGGCTAAACTAAATAGTAGAATTTCAGAGATACTTGAAAGGGTTTGAGATTAGGTTCTTTCTTTTAAGAGGCCATGTCAGTTTTATAAAAGAGGGTTGTGCTTTTCAAAGATGGAAAAAGAGCTTTTTTAATTGTTGAATTTCAGTCAAATTTTACAGAAATGTTACATAAAGATTAAAGTGTACATATGTAAAGAATTTTGATAAAGATTTATTCTTATTTATACTAAAAGACCTCTTGAATGCTTAGAGGTTTGAGAACTGGTTTGCCCACGATAATTACTCTACAATCGCTATGGATAGCATATTAGCAGTTAACGTTTGCTATTCGCATTCAAAATAAAATTAATTGTCTTCAGCACGACTTTGACGTATTATTCCTTGGACAAAATACGTATATTTTTGTCCCAGATAAGACATATCTTGCAAAATCCACATACCATACCTAAAGACAACATTTGCAGCAATGAAAGATTACCCCACCCGCTTTTTGAAACGGTAACTCTTTTTAGTTGGAGGTAAATAAGTTAATACAATTGACGCCGTTGCTATTGACGCCAGCGTCATTACTTCACAGCAACACTGATTATTGCACACGCTCAGATTTACAGCCGTAATAAATTTTCAGTATTGCACGATGACAAACAATGGATAGGTAAGTTTTTATATTTCATTATAATTTTAAAAGCTGTTAAAACTTGGCACGTAATTTCCTGGAAATATTCACAATTCTTTAAATCTGAGCTGACCTAAATGGATTTAGTCAAAATCATTGGACCAATAAAGGCGTCCCGGGTCTATCTGTTTACTACAAATCTCATATTGCATTTCGATTTTTATACGTGTTTTATTAATAAATTGACGATAGCTATTAATCAGTATTTTTATATATGCATATTTTTGAGTTTGTGACAAATATATATAAAATATCGATTTGATGTTTTGTCTTTTATCTTAACGCAAGCCTACGTGATGCCGTACCACTCGTTAATATGTGTGAACGGCACAATTGCTGGTTAATCATCAATGGTATTGGCCTATGCTTTTGTCTTGGAAAGATAATAAAACGTATTTAGTAAAGCACAGACTAGTTTGTTGTACATGCCGCAGACATGATATTCTCGAGAATGTTAATGTCGTTTCACGCGAATACTTTTCAGCAAAGATACATACAGACTTTCCGCTTACACTGGAAAAATGTTGACATCTAATAGCATAGCCATATTCGTCTTGTTTTGTCTTTTATAAAATGAAATATATGTCCGTCGTTGCCTTTAATTTTTTAGCATAGTCAAAATAAACAATGTCATTATTGAAGGAAGGGATGTCAGAATAAAGTGAAGTCAAGTCATCTTGTTATGTTTTGAACTTTTGAAACCATCGTCTATTTAATTCAACATACTTCAAACATGTCTGTCAAATGGAATATTATGTGAAGGTAGTTTAAATTTACTTTGTGAAAATAACAGCAAATACAAATGCAATGGACAAGTCACACGATGTGCACACCCTCCATTTTTCATATCTTACAGAAGTCGATGTGTTAAGCTGTCCGTTGTTCATTCATATGTATCAATCTATCGTTTTTAATTAACGATTTATTCTATAATTGGTAATAGTCTACCAATAAATCTATATGGTCACGTACTCTGCTCACTCAATCATTATAAACATCTTATCTTCGTAATATGGCGAGTTATATAATAGAATATCATTACATTGATTACTCCTGACCTACTCATTGCGCCCTTTTACGCAGGCGCAACACGTCGCCTTTACCGCCAATCTTTATATAATCGGCGGGATATTCCGAATGTTATATGTTGATTAGTGCTGAATATTAATAAACCTTTCTATCTTAAACGGACTTCGTAAACGGACTTCGTAATATGGAATCAACAGGGGGATTTTCTCAAAACATATATGATAAAAAAAATTAAACTAAAACTGAAATACATCGGTTTTTTACATGTATATGCTAGTTATAGTATTTCTATCAACCATCAACATATTAAGATGGAGACAATATAACAATATTTTATATAAAGACCAATAAAAACAAACAAACGAACATTCATTTATATACTCTATTGTAGTGTTAATTTTCAACCAATGACCCAAGAAGCGATGTTTTCAAGATAAACTATATATAGTAAGTGTTGGTACATGGTGTACGTGGAAACAGGACTAAACGTAAATTTATCATATGTGTAATATGAAGTAACGCTAAGTGGGCATCGCACGAAATCTCGAGTGTTGAATAAAAAAAGAATTATACACAGATCCTAACTGAATTCCAATAAAACTTTTGACTGTTGATAGTATCAAGAAATATAATTGTTCTTGTGGCTTACATTCAGTGGTCGTAATATTTCGTGTGATGTTCATCCTATTGCACCAACTGCGGGACAGTTTATCCCAGCCGACACGCTTTACTAAACCATTTATCTATGGTCCGGCCAAGTGATGTAATTCTCAAATGTTATGCAAAATGCACTTATAAATGTGCGAATTTCAACTTGTACATACGCGATGCACACACTGAATAAGTAGCAAGTGTTACGATAAGGGTTGGTAACAGCGTATCCCCATATCACAAACAAAAAAAAATTATATTTACTGAAGACAGTTTGTGGCGACTGTAATTTTCAAGTTTATGATATGTAACATATATATTAATGTGTTGTTAGATTATAGAAATGTATAACTAAACCTTCGTGCAATTTCACACTGAAATGTGTTCCAATATCATACGACGATGATATTGGGGGGGGGGGGGGCTCCGCAGTTTAAGTCAGAAAGAATTACAGGTTGACAACAATAACGATAAGAGAGCAGTTCAAGTCTCTCTAAAGGAACCCCCCCCCCTCTGAAAAAAAACCCTGAACTTGGCGTCAACAGTGACAGCAGTAATGACATTTACTTTAGCCTTGCTTTAACACACTCAAAACTTGATGGCATGCTGGTCTTTGGTTGAATTAACACTTCAATAAAGTCTATGAACTAAGTAGCTTATATTGTTGTTGTTTTTATTTTGTCTTTATATTAATTATGGTTATATTGTCTCCATCTTTAATATTTTGATATGTTGAAATCGCTGCAGTTTTAGCGTACTGCTCATTTTATCTTATTTCCGCGCATTTATGTTTTGAGAAAACCCCCAAATTATTCCGTATTAAGAAGTACGTTTACGAAGTCCGTTTAAGATAGAAATGTCTAATAAGCACACCATTTAACGTAACTGATATTGTGAAGTCAACCATTTGCACTGAAATTTTTCGAAAGGTATATTTTTTATCACAATGTGTGTCGAGCACTGACAAAAGTTGAACCAATAAAAATACTCTAGTTAAATTCATACATGAGTCAAATGTTATCACATCGAGGTTCAAAGACTAAGGAGGAGCCAGTATTTCATTTGATTGGTGCATTATCATTTCGAAATGAACTAGAAATGTATGCATGGATGCCCCAACATTCCTGTTTTGACAGTCTACAGACGTACAGAATGACAGCGAGACGGACGGACAGAGACGAATCTATTTGCCCAAACCCCTAAAAAGGAAATAAAAACCAATTACAATAAATTAAACAAACAAATAAATAAAAAATAAATTAAAAAGAATAAAGAGAGAGATAGTCAGTCCTGACCATCTTCTATTAGTTGATGAACGTCACTTGGCTGTATAATTTATATGTTTTTATGTTCAACAAATCATTTAGAAATATTTCTTCGGGTTCCTTTGTCTGCCTCATCAGCCATTTTAGTGATACATGAAAGACCCTTCCCTTGTTCCAGATGTCTTGATTCAAAATAGTTCATGGACAATTTTATGCCGTTTACATTTCAATGCCGTGCAACAGTAGGGAAATGTTTTTGTTGAGGTATTTGCTGTTGGGTCATCTTTCCAGAAGTGCACTCTCTTGGGACCAGGGAC